GCCCCGAGCGCTGCCCCGAGCGCTGCCGCTGCTCTGTGCTCCATTCTCTCCGTTGCGGTACACTATTGCCCTTTTGGCTCAGTAATAGCTATAAAAGCTCTGATGAGATCTTATGGCACATAGCGTGAGCCTCGTAGTCTGTAGTGGTGCTCCTCAGCTCTCCGGGGTAGGGGTGTGTGTGTGTAAAAGAAGGATATAAACTGTGAATTTTGTCTTAGGTGTCAGGATGGTGCTCTCCATTTTGCGTACAGCCTGAGTACACATGATACATTTCCCATTTCTGCATGCCTCCTCAGGTTCTCTGTTGTTCACGTCAGGCCTGGGATTGCTTTTGAGAGGCAGAAATAATGTTTGATGATTCTTATGTTCATAGCTGTGATTGTAGACAAAGGACAAATAACTGGATTGTCAGCATCAATCTGATGTGGTGGGACCAGGCCAGCTGACCATGTCTGATGCTGCATTTGCATTCACTACCCAGCTACACAGGAATGAACCAAAGGCTTTACAAACACAGGTATTATTTGACTTCTGCAGCAATGCTGAATTTGTTTTCATTTGTGATCGTTACAAAAAGGTGATTATGACCCACTTGTTGAGTTAGCCCCCTAATGCATGCCAAATCTTCACGCTTGCTTTCACGATGCTGCCATACATAATCTTGACACTGCCATTTTGTAAGGATATAGATCAGAAACTACATCTGTAAATATTATTTACCCGTCTGTTTTGGTTTAATCGCAGTAGGCAGCTAAGCACACCGCCGTTTGCTCACTCCACTCACACAGGCAAGCAAAGCGAAATAAGAAATTCATTCACCGCATCCCATCAGCCCAGGTGTTCAGCCATTTCTGCATCTCCATCGCGTGTGATGGTGACTTGGGCAAGACAAACACCATAACTCCAAATGTTTCCCCCTTCCTCTTCTTCATCACAGCTTCATACACTGAGCATGACCTCAGATGGTATGGAACAGCCCTGTGGTCAGTTTATACACTGAGCACGATGTCACACGTATGGTCAGTTGGGGTCGGCTGTCCCGGCTGTGTCCCCCCCAGCCCATTGCCGGCGCTGTGAGGAGCAGAAAGGCCGCGACGCTGTGCAGGGGCTGCTCAGCAGTAACGAAAACATCCCTGTTCTGTCAACACTGTTTCCAGCACCAATCCAAAGCGTAGCACCATACCAGCTACCGTGAAAAAATGTCACTCTATCCCAGTCTAAACCAGTACGCTATCTTAACCGCTTACTTTACTGCATGGAAACAGAACCTAGAAACTTTATTCTGGACCATGTTTCAGCTTTCCATTTCTCCTTCATCATGCATCTCCTTCATCGTTTCTCTTTCTGTTACCTTTGCAAATTTAGTACTGCCGTACTAAATCAGTATGATATAATCATACCCACTTATATTACTAATTTTAGTTGTTGTTATAACTCATTAATTTCATTGTCAGAACTCTTAAAAAAAATCATTAAAAGGGCGTTCATTGTCCATTGCCCAGTCCCTTTGGAGCAGTTTTTTCAATGTGTGTACCCTCCCTAAGGTGCGCACCCTAAGTTGCAGATAAGTGCATAATGTTATTTACAAGATGATCTAAATGCATAGGTCAAAATGATTTTGGATACTGGCATTTGTCTTGCATGTGTCATGACAAAAGATCCATTTTCCTTACTGTTATACACTAGAGGGACATCACCTGTGTAGAGTGTTATGTGTAACATCAGCTTTTTTTTACACTTTGGAACAGCTCCAGTTTAATAGAAATGTTCCTGCAGTTCCAGAGAACTTGGCTCTCAGATTCTCTAACCCCCGTCCAATTACAATAGAAAAACTGAAGGCATCCAATGATCGGAGAGACCTACCTGGAAGTGGGGACCCCAGCATAAGAAGCTCTGGCATGTTTTCAGTGATATCTGAAGAGAGACTAAAATTGGCTATTCAGCTAGCCAAAAGGGACATCAAACGAAGACATCTTGAAGAGCAAGTGAAACAGCAAGTGTTTGGAGAAGCTGTCAATAAACCACTGTTGGCCCAGAAGCCACAACAGCAGAAGACTGAAGTATTTGAAAGTCCAGAAAATAAAAATGCACTGAAGTCTCAAACTCACTTGAAATATCAGCAGAAACTCAGTCAGCCTTCCAAAGTGGAGACTACCACCTCTGGCGCTAAAGTTTATCTTTACACACCAAAGGAGGGAAAGCTAATACCAGCTGTTTTGGACTCTTCACCCACCCATGGCACAGGACCAGACCCCAAGCCAAATGTAAACAAAAAAGAAGATAAAAATACACAGGAAGTCCGACGTCTGCAAAAAGAATTGAGGAGCTATGTCCAGAAAATTGAAGAACTGACTAAAAAAGGTGTAAGACTGAACAATAACTATGTTACATAAATGTACAGTAGTTTGCTGATTTGTTTTTCTTTCTGTTATTTTTTGGCTTGGATTAGCATCCGTTTTTAGTTCTGGATTTTTGAGAACCATCTACTTTTTTCAAAAGTAGAAAAAAGGTGTAATGGCTAGCCAGTTTAAGTAATAGCAGGGTTTAATATCTCTGAGAGTTTGTGGTGAGTTCCAATACAACCTGCAATGACAGTAAATTAGTGGTAGGCTGTTAATAACGTGGGTGAAAAACTCTTGGTGTCTGTAGGCGTATTGACTAGATTTTCAACCTGCAAAAAACAGTATCATAATTGACCACATTCTTGTCAGTGATGAGAAGGGGGGCAACAGCTGGTAAAATTTCATTTCACAAGTAAGTCTGACTCACCTAACCGTGGCTGTGCAGTAGCACGATTAATGTGCTTTCTGACACTGTGTTGTGGGCTGACCCTGGTTGGCAGCGAAGTGCCACACGCTTGTGCTCATTTTCCCCACGGCAGGACACGGGAGAGAATAGAAAGAATAAAAGCAAGAAAACTTGCGGGTTGAGATAAGGATAGTTTAGTAAGGGAAGGAAAGAGGAAGAAGAAAGAAAAAAAAATAAGTGATGCAGAAGCAATCACTCACTACCTTCCCCAAGTAGACCCAATGCCCAGCTGATCTGTAAGCAATGGCTACCTTTCCCCAGAAAAAATCAATTTTTTATTGCTGAGCATGCCATGGAATATCCCTTGGGTCAGTTGGGGTCAGCTGTCCTGGCTGTGTCCCCTCCCAGCTTCTTGCACGTGCCCAGCCTACGAACTGGTAGGGCATAGTTGAAAAAAGAGAAAGTTTAGTGCTGTGCAAGTATTGCTCAGCGATAACCAAAACACTGGTGTGTTGTCAGCACTTTCAGTCATAAATCCAAAACAGCACCGTACGGGTGAGCGTGAAGAAAACTAACTCCATCCCGGCCAGCCCCTGCGTACCCTGCCTTGGTTCTTCTGTACTGACTAGCCGGAGGTTTAACTGTTCCTAACTTTGAGTGCTTTACCTGCAACTTTGTCCCAAAGTGAAGGAGTCACACATGATTTTGTAAGCTGTAACTAATAAGCTATATTGTATAAGAAAGTTTAGTCAAATTCTAAATAGCAACATGATGTAGAGTTAAAATAAATACTTTGTATTACTGCTCGAGGGAGCCCTGCAAAATATATGATGCATTGTGTATTGGTTCTGCATGAAAGAGGCTTATTACTAAATTACGTTTATTGTCATGGCTTAATTGGGATTTTCACAGGTTAAATTAAGACATAAAACTTTACATTTTCTGCTTTTTAGGGAGAGAGAGAGAAATTTTAGATCCTGATGAAGAGGAACGAGTTTGCCTGAGGAGACAGAAACAAGCTGCACGGTCAGCTCGGATGCTGTATGTACTCCAGCAACAGGTAGGAACCAGCATTTTAAATTGGGGTGTAGAGTAGCTAGTTTATTGTGATGCATTTCATAGAAATGAACTGAAACAAGAGAAATTTGCTTGGGTTATCTCTGAACTTCCATGGCATTCTAGTTTACATCTGAATGGTGTCACTAATTTCGCTCATGACAGGACAGAGATGAGCACCACTGTTGGAAAATTTGGACTTTCACTCAAACATTACGGTGAAGATTAATTGTTCATTTATAGACATGGAGCTAATTCTGACTGACTTTTCTCTCTCCCCCTCCTTTCTTGATAAACAGGTAAAAGAAATTCAAGATGATTTAGAGAAGCTGAGTCCTCATAAAGTCAAACATACTAAAAAGGTAAGATGTAACTATCCTTCAGGCTGTGAGTAACTTAGTGACAGAAAGTTTTCTAGCTGATTGAGTGTGATGGTCTGGGGTACACCTGATCCCTCTCCAGAAGGGAGATTTTCTTTGTGTCTTGCACGTTTCGTCTCATTCTCAGAGAAATATGTTTCACTTGGTCTGATACTGCCTTTGCTGCTTCCCTCTTCACTTCTTACCTGTCTACAGCAAACTGGAGAGGAAGACTGTTTGTCTTCTGCTTTTATGTGGCTTCTAATTCCTTCTTCACTCCGGCTCCTTTTCTGAATAACAGTGTTCTGCTCTTGACTACCTTTTTTAACTTCTGTTGATGTCACTCAGTCTTATCAGCCTCCTTTCTGATTTTCTTCTCTGCCCAGCATCTTTCAGAAAGGTAGTACTGAGACCATGCCGACTGTTTGGCCACTATCGTCCCGTTGTCCCCTTGTGCTTTTCCATCTCTTGTGTTTTCTTCTGTAAGAAAAACTGGAGCTTGTTTATGTTTGTGCAATTGTTGCCCATTAGGATCAAGCACATGACTACAGTACTCTGTTGGCAGTGGTAGCGGAAACATCAGAATATGTTATAACCAGGTGTCCTGGTTTGAGTGACACAGGACTAATTTCTCTTCTAATACTTGGGAAGACTGCACTTTTAGAAGACTCTAGTGTCTGAATTTGTGAAAATATTTACTTTACATCCAGTTATGGTGTGTGGGTTTCAAGGTCTCCGTGTTTTCGAGCTCACCAGGTGCGGGTATGAGGAGCGAGACCCAGGCACTTGACCCAAGCCGGCCAACAGGGTTAATTCATACCATAAACATCACATTCAGTATAAATTAGAAAGTTTGCTGCAAAGTTCTCTCTCTCTCTCCCGTGATGGCTGCCATCCTGAGAACTCCTCGTCCCAGTGCCGGAGCCCTGAGCCCTTCCCTTTGCTGCAGCGTTGTCAGTGTCCCACATTTGCTGTCCTCTGCTGGGAGTGCACAGCTTCTACTGCTAGAATGGGCTGAGTATAATCCTTGTGTGTTTTATATTGATATTGGGATCAATACTGGTTCTTTAGCGTTATTAGTGTTAATTATGTAGTCTTATCCTATTAAATCTATTTATATTTCAACCCTTGTGTTTCCTTGTTTTTCCTGATTCCCCTTCCCAGGTAGGGAGGGCTCATCGGGTGAGAGAATAATCGTCTCAACAACAATAAATTGTTATGGGTTTCTCAAACCATAACACCTGGCTATTTTATCTGAAGCTAGCATGATAGTTGATATGAGTACTGTTGTGTAGTACCTTTAGTAGATTACTTAAATGCCTGTTTTGTTCTGTCTCACAAATGGCCTCATATCCATCAGAATTATCCCAAGCCTGAGTGTTTCTCCATGAAATTTTGGCAACAATTCTTTGAATAGTATCAGTATTCATAGAAACTGTAGCTGTTAAAGCATTTATTTTTCATTTTCCAGTCTCGAGCAGTATCCAGGTTGGCAGCAGCACACAGAGGAGCTGTACGAGCCTTGCAGGCATTTGCCAGTCAGTTTACAGATCAAACAGAGCAGCAGATTCCTACTCACTACAAGGAACTGGGCAGCCTCATTCGACAACTCTCTCTCTGTTCTGCCAAACTAGAAGTGGATTCTTCCATTTCTGACATTATCATAGATATTTTGCTGCAGGTTGAGGTAGGAAAATACATTTTGTTTTTGCTAAGGCAGAAAAGATGTTGTGAAATATAAGACTGCAAACTATATTGTGTGTTCATAAAATGGCCGAATAACTTACTGTTGGTTTGGGTTTTTTTTAAAGGCCATATTTTCTAATGTATAAATGTGTTTCTAATGTTCCTAAATAATGGTGGTCTAAAATAGAGTTGCATCCTAAACACAGAAGCTACCTGCTGCTGTTCTTGTTGATGCAGTTCCTGTCTTTACTGGCTCTCCAGTAGAATGAAGGCTGGTAGTGATAGCGGTAACAAAGCACCAGCTTCTGATTTGTTTGCCATTTTCGGGACTGACAGAATTGCATTTTCTACATTGGTGCAAGTTGCCTGTTTGTTGTTTTGCAATGCATGCTTTAGCTGTCAGGATTAGTGATGAGCATCTGAGCCTCACACGTGGTGGTGGGTGCAGGATTGTCCAGATAGAAGATAAAGTTGTAGCTACACGAGTTACCTAAGCTCTATCCCCTTCAAATGGCTTTTGTTAGTGGTATCTGATGTCTTAAAAATTGTGGTTCACATAATGGAATCCAAGTTCTGATTCACATTTCCTACTGCAGTTCCTACCTACAAGATTTTTTTTTTTAAGTAAGAACCGATGTAACCTGAACTATTGCGAAACCAGTATTTAATTAATTTGAATAAAAGCAACTGATACAATAGCCGTAAGATATTTTATTTTCCTTAAAATATTGTTCTAACTGTATGAGCTGTGTTTTTATTTTTATTGTTCTCCTTATGAGAACAGTAGCAGTGCTAACTGCCTGGGAACAAGAAAGGAGGTAGAATTATTTAAGTCTGGACTTAGCATTGGAAGAAGTGTCTATCTGTCTTACCGTAGTCATGTGGGCATTTTCTGTCTGTAGGCTTTGTGCCTATTTGTTTTTGTACATACTGTAAGCAGATAATTTGATGAAGTCAATTGTAAACACAAAAATGCAAGCCTTTTCTGTTAAGATTTAAGTTAATATTATGAAGAAGCTTCTGCATGAACAAGCTATTGGGAATAAAACAAACGTCAAAAACAAAACCACACCAAAAAAGTTCCAGCTAAGAATCTCTTGAATTTGCTTCTCATGCTTACATCAGGTTTACTGAGAGAGTAATTAATATTCTAAATATTTTGTGCAGGATCTGGATTCATTGCTGGGAAAGAAACAAACACCCAAAAAAGTGAAGAAATGTATTTCAGCATCTCAGGGCAAATCTCCAAGGAACACTGAGACATTTCCAGCCAGAAAGCAGCTTACATCTCCAAAAGGAGAAAACAAATCTCGCATCTTAAAGGGACAGCGTGGACAAGAACATAGAAAACCTCCAGCTGCCAGGAGTCTCTTGACTGGTTTGTATTTTGAATTATTAAATACATTTTTATTAGGTAACTTACTATCTGCAGTTCAGTTTTGTAGCATGTTACGTATTGTTGGTCAGAATTGTATAACAGCCCATATGGAGTTATCAGATTCACACAGCCTTGTTGTGCATTATTTTTTCAGCTGTTCCCCTGAGATGATAGACCTGCAGGTTTATATGCCCCTTTATTACTATATTATTATTATTATCATCATGTTCTTCCTATTTTTGTCCATTTCTTTTACCATGCTACACTTGGATTGTGTTTCTGCAGCGTACACCTAAATGGCAGTTTACAAGTTGACCTTAATGGTGCATACAGAATATTTCCAAATATCTACCTAGATAATACTGTATAAATACGCTATTTTGGAATGCAAAGTCGCTGAGTGTTAGTAGAACTCCAACAAAGCTATTGTTGTTTAACGGTTTACAGAGAAAAGATATACTGAAGCCTTGGCTCAGAATTTCCTTGCTTTGTGCAGTTTCTCTGCTTTTGAGAGGGGTGACTGGGTTTTATTCTTGCCAGTTCGTTAATGTTAATGTCTTCTGCGCCAGTAATCGCAGTTTCAGTACCTAGAGACACGTTAACTGATAGTTAAGCTGAAGACTTTGGTATTTTTCAAAACCAGCTTGCCATGCAACTGTTGGAAATTGGTTTGCTTTCTTGTTCTTTTACTTCATATATGAAAGGAAATGGGCTTTATTCTTTCTCAAGGTGGTGTGAGATCAATTTACCATCTGAAGTATTTTGACACCTTGTGAAAGCCATTGGAGCTTATTGCATTATTATATAACCTATATTAATTGCTTTTCTTCTTTGGAGTGCCTTTCTCATACCATTTTTTAATAGAATAGTAATTATTCCTTTCTACCTCTAGGTAAGGGAGAGGAGAATTCTGTGAGATTAATTCATCTTTGACAGTCCAGAGAGACAGTGTATGGACAAGCATCTAATGGTTTCCATGTGTCTTGCTGCCTAAAAAAAGACTGTTTTGTTATCACTGCCTAGACCTCATATGGCAATTACTACCGAAAAGCTTTTGCATGGTTTTCATATATACGTGTACTTTCAAATGTCTGTATGTATATGCATACAAAATTCAAAATCTCCTATCCATTGAAACAGTGTAAGAAAGACAATTTATTTAATACTTGTTAGGAAAGACAAGAGGTTTTTTTCTTTTTTTATTTGATTTTTTTTAATTATGATGGAGCTTAAAAGTTCATTATTAGATATACCTAGCATAACAGAAGTATCAAATGTAGAAATAAAGAGGATTCTTGCCCCTTTCACCTTACAGTTGAAAGTTTATTTATTATTTTTGATACAGATAAACATTGACATGTTGCAAATATTTCAGCAGTTCAGAAGGTAAACAGTTGTGCTCATATATTGCACAATAAATTCCGAGAAGAAGATGACCCACCTACTCGAGAGAGAAGTGCCGCTTTACAAGGAAGCATAGATGCATTGGTGAGAGCTAGAGCTGTGAAAAAAGATCCCACCCTTGAAAGTGGCCCTTTTAAGAAGAAAGGCATGTTATTACCTGCAAAATCACAGGTATGGGAGTGATAAAAGTATTTATGCTTTCTTCTGCTTCTCTCTGGGATTTGTTATGTAATGTAAGACACTATCAAGCTTTGCAGTTCTTCACATTTTTTTTATTCTGAGCTAGGAGACTTAGGCAGATAAACCATGTCATCTGCCTACATTATTCCTAGTGGTTTTGACTATTTTATCGGATGTTTTTTGAAAGTAGTGTTATTGTTCCTTGGAAACGCACTGTACAACTAGAAACAATCAATAACAGAATTAGCATGGAAAACTTGCACCAAAACTAGTTTCATGTTCAAAATTAGTGGTTTTTTTTTTCAACTTGAAATTGAAGCTGCAATATTTTCCTCTTCTTTGTTCTCCTCTGTTGTGAAAAATGCACTCAGCAGTAATGTGGAGCTAATGCTTGTGTTAGTAGGATGATATAAGTTAGGCAGATTTACTTCATTGATTACAGAAATTATAAAACTTCACAACACAAGTTCTGGTTTCTGGTAGGTCTTTCTTGCAACCAGCAAGAGGCTTCTGTAATGCAAACAAATGAGTTCTTAACAGAATACTTCAGAGTGCTAAATTTTGCAAATAGTTAGGGTTTTTTATTAAATGCTTTTTTTTCCCTTCCTCAGAGTATCACCTTCAGCTTGAAAAATCAGATGTGATACAGTAACAGGTGTATGCATCTGTAACCGTTACTTCTTCCCATACCTGTCGGTGAGGATTGTGAGCAGGAAGGTTAAGCATTTCAGTGATTCATACTGAGGGGACTAGTCTACGTGTCCCTGTAGCAGATACAAATATGGCAATATTATAGTTTCATGGCTCAATAAAATGTTACTTTGGAAATCTTGTATTTGGATTTATTAAGAGTTAACATAGAGTCTAATTCTGAACGTTTCAAAAGAAGTTTTGCCCCATGAAGAGCAACGTTGGAAAGATTGGAACTGTTTGCAAAAATAATAGTTGCAGGATTAAGGGTATGTTCTCTTCAGGCACAGTTGTAATTCCCTTTAAATCAGTTGTAAAACCTCCATGTAGCTCAACTGTGCAACAAAGCCAGCAGGCAGGACTTCAAGACCAGTTCTGAAGCAGAATGCAAAATACTTTAAAAATTCAACAACTGGAATATGTGTTTTTAATACGATTGTGTTAATTTTAAGGGAATACTGAAATCTCTAAAATCAACACGGGTACAGCCTCCAGGAAAGCGTGCCCGATTTCAAGAGACAACTATAGCGTTCCAGCTAAAACAGAACAAACGACTTGTTAAGGAGAGCAGAGCACCCCGCGTGCCTCCAAACCCCGCATCTCCGCCTGCTTCACCGAAGCGGTATGTTCACAGTCGGGTGGAACCCGTCTTTACCCTGCGTTCCTGGGGAAATGCTGCTGTATCTGTAGTGGTAAATGGGATGGATTTGGCCTGCCTGTCAGAACGTGAAGGCAAGTGGCACCGCACAGCTTGCTACCGGATGGTGTATTAGATAGCCATGAACTGCCCGTTTGCCAGTAACAGAAACATAACTGAAGATCCCTGATTCTCAACAGAATTTCCTGGTTTATACGGTCTTACAGTCAGTGTCAATTTTCTCTCTAAAGTTTTCTAAACTAATGCTCAGAATCACATGGTTTCATCCTTCAGTTGTTATAATGTGCATTTTCTAACCGTCTGTGTCACTGTGTTATTTTTGAAGACTAGCATGGCTTGAAGCAGCAACTTCAAGAAGAGTGAAGGACCTAACTGACCTTAGCAGAGGAGAAGTGAAAAAAATACATAAGTTAAGGTAATGACTTACTTTGAAAGCTAGTTAATGGTGTCAGATATGATATGGTCTTCTCCCCACTCCCACCAGTCCCCCCGAAAGTACATTTATGTGTTTGGGTTTTTTATATTGTTGTTGTTATACCAAGTTTCAGAATGGCATTGTCATTTGTTCTTTTTTGTGTAGGTCACAAAGTGCTTCTCCAACGCAGTACACAGACAAAGTTGAGAAGGCAGTATGGGAGCACTTAGAACCTCGATTAGATGGAACACAGGTAGTACAGTCAAGCTCATGCCCCTGTTTGAAGGATGCCTTTAGAGCTGTAAAACATTTATAAAGGGGCAACACGTGGTTTATTTTCAACTTAATGCAAGTCATATTTATGTAGTCAACACAGTTTTGGACTTTTGGAGAGTATATTTCCATTTCAATATGTGGGTCTTGAATTATTGTAACGAAGTTTGGCAAAGCTGCGATAAATTTTTTTGTTGTTAGCGTCTTCTCAAGTAGATGCATTTTTAAGTTGTTTTTGAATGGTCATAACAGTTCCATGCTGAACATGACTGGACTTGGTGAGATTATTTTAATAATTCTTCTAATACCATATTTAATGACTAAATAAATTTGGACTAGTAATAATACTGACTAATAACACAGAAAGCCTAGTTATTGTGAGAGGATTTACTTTTTATTTATAAGACCAATCTCTCCTTGGAAGCAAACTGTCATTTGAAGGATTCTTTATTTATAAACCACCTTTTAACTCATGCAGCTGAGAAGGTATATTCTATCTGTATGTTACAGAGTAAAGTTGTTTGACGTTTAAGACAAATTTTTATCTTTGCCATATAGCAGAATGCATCTAGAAGAGTAGTACTGATTTCCCAAACTTGACAATTTCAGCTTACATAAGACACATCTTTAAAACAGCATCATTGTATGGGCACGTGGGCCTTCTAAAGTATTGTTTTGTAACCATGTACAGTATGAAACAATGAGAAAGCTCTTTCTAACATCATCTCTTTTGTATATTTTTTGGCTTGATGTCACCTTAAATGCATGAAGTTGCTTGGGGAAAAAAATGTTTTCATATAAAATAACACAGGTAAATGAATAGTGATATCATACCATGGCTAATTGGTAAAACTGGGCACAACTGAAACCTGTGGCCTGGATCGTATTTATTTACTCATTACCATCTGGAGCTGCCGTGAGAGTGTTTCTCTATGATAAATTAAATGTATGTATGTGTAGTGGTTTGTAAGATGAGGGCCTTCACTTCACTTTCTTGAATTCCTGGGTGATCCCTGAACCTGTGACAGTTTTGTCTTCAAGTTGGGAACATAGCTGTGTAGCAAGCTTTTTCCATATTCATTGATTTTTTTGGTAGGAACATTATTGTTTTATTGTGTGGGTGGAAGGAAAACATGAATCTATTTGGATTTTCATTGAAGGGAAAAGTCGAAATGACAATTGGATTATTTCCATGAGCTGCTGTAAGAAAAGTTTGATTTGTAAACATTCTTTCCCAAATTAGTTTTTGGGGTTTTTTTTCTTTCTTTCTTGCATTGGCTGTGTGTTTTTTTGTTTGTGTTATTTTAGGGGTTTTTTTGTTTGTTTTTTTTAAGTAGCAGGCTGCAGCAAATGCAGATATTCTGAGTGAAAAGCTATTGGATGATCTTTTGGAAGATACTGCTCAGGAACTGTGGAGTATGGAGCAGCATGAGAGACTGCAAACTGAGGCTCTGCCCATGGCTGACATGCATAGTCTGGAGTCAATGTTGCAAAGAATGGAAGAAATTGAAGTAAGATCTTTCTTGGTTAGACTCATTAGTGCCAATTTCTTGCTTACTGTCCATAAATTGCAATATCTGTAAGTATCTACATTCTTAAATGAAGCAAAGTCTGACTGGATCAGTGTAGGAAATGAAAGACTTCGAAGGGGTTTGCACTTCCCGCAAAACGTAGTGTAAGAATAGCAGAGGAATGTTTGCCCTAATGTTTTTATTGCTAGCTTTAGAGTCGGTAGAGCTGTGTATGCTTCCCACCTCCAGGCTGTGGCTTAGATCATCATATATGAATGGGAGGACCAGTATGGCAATTAAGTTGATTGTCTCACAGATTGGAAAGTGTTTGAATATTTAAGGATTTAATTTTTTTTTTTTTTCATTTTTTGGTGATACAGAATCCTAGTATTCTAGTAGCATGTGCATCTCAAGGAAATATGCTCTGGCAATCTAAAATATTTTACAGAGCAACGTGGGGAAGTCAGGCAAATACATGGTTATCTGTGCCCTCATTTACCCATCTTTAGTGTAAATATTCATGAGGTTATCATTTACTTGACTTGAACTTTCTCATATATTGCTTTCTTAAAAAAATTTCATTGACCAGCTTTTCCATAGTTTTTGGTTTGTCCCATTTCAACATTCCTGTTCAGTGAAATTTATCATAACTTAGAACTGCTGAGTTCAGTGCCATTTCCTTCTAGAGATCTACTCATAAGTTGGAAGCGTGAAGCTTAAGTGTGCAGTGTCCTTACCCGTATGATAAGCACAGGTGTGAATTCACCTTTGGTAAGGCAGGAGCAGCGCCGGGGCCTGTCCATCTTTGGAGAACTGCTGTTGATCTGAACTGGGAGGAACTGCCACGGTACTGGCACCTAGCTGAGTCTTCAAGTGTGACGTTTTGAACGAGATGATAATCTGTGATTTCACCCCCCTGCCCCTTTCCTGTGTTACGTTAACGAGGCAAAATAAGCCTACTTTGGCCAAGGAGGATCATGACCTGCTTTCCCACTGGGACATGACCGGTGCAGCTGAACTGATAACTATGTGTTGATTGATTAATTTTTTATGTTCAAAACCAGAGATACCAAGAGGCTGTACGCAGGAGATTCACCAAGATTGTGTACAGTGATTCCGAGTTCTGGGCCCAGGAAGACAAAGTTGGTAAGTGTCTTTTTAACACAACTTGATTTTCCTGTAATCTGTATCTTTAAATTCAGATGTTTTGAAATCAAAATCATTGGATTATGTGTGATCAAATAGCACCATCCAGACACATTTTTTACTCCTTTCAGAGGACTGTTTCTAAAATCTAGTTCTAAAATCAGTATTTTAAAGAGGAAGGTTCTCTTCTGATCCTTCTGATCACAGGCTGTGATATTCTACTTGCCTTTATTTGGGCTGCATTTGGATGGAAAGCACTGCTACTGCAGAATAGCTGAAGGATAGGAATCTTTAACAATACTTCCAGTCATCAAATGTTAAGTTTGAATGTCTTCCCTTTTCTAGGCATTTGTCATTCCTTAGCTTAGATATTTTCTTTTCTGCCAAAATGTGTGTAATGATTTTTGTGCAGTGAAGATGATATTCCATGAGTATATACACTCAAATTCATCTGTAAGCTACTTGAATTTACTCCAGAAGACAGCTAGTTTACTTTCTAAGTCTGAGGTCCTCTGAGTCACTCTTTTTCTTGTTAAGCTCTTCATGACTGCCTGTCTTCAGTTTTGAGAAAGGCACTGGCAAATCTGTAAATCTTAATCTTGAAAAGAGTATTTAGTGTGTTCTCATTTGACTTGATTCCTTTGAAACACCATTAATTACTTAGTAGTGATCATTTTCATGCTGCTGAACTCAAAACTATTCTTAAGAGTTCACAGGCTGAGGTAAGGTATAGTGAAACAATCTCAGTTTGTTCCTGCTGTTGATTTACTTGGGCAGGAGCAAGCCGATATTTATCTTCTAGTTTGCTTCGCCCATTTTCTTTCCTTTGTTTTAATAAACTATCAGTTTAAACAGCTTAGAGTCCAAGAGTAAATGTTAAGTAAATATTAGCGTGGCAGTGAATCCATGACAGTTTAAGGTTTTTCTGGCAGTACACAGAAGGTAATATTAAATTACTTAAGCTTAGAAGATTTTTCTCTTTCCTTATTCCTTTCAAATGATGTTGTTTTTAGATCTTGCAGCATACATGAAAGTTTAACTTTTATAGCCTCAGAAACTCTGGATTTTTCTGTACAGAATTCATTACCTAATGTGCTTCAGCAAAAAGTATTTAATCCTTGAAAAAAACCAACAGTTTGGATTGCTTCCAGTTCACATTTATCACATTTTTCCTGCTTGTTTTTATTGTATAGAAAATAAAAGAAAGAATCTAAAATCCTTCAGATGAAAGATATAACTAACTTCTCACATCAGATTGAATTTTTAATTGAGAGGGACCTAAGTAATATTAGTAGGAAACTGTTCACTAATGAAAGGTAGCATTCCAAACAATAGTTTGATGTTTCCCGTACATAAGTGTACGTACTTTAATATTGTTTGCCACAGTGGCGTGCTAATAAGGAAGGCTTTTGCTTGTTGTTTTTGACATCCCCCTGCTCTGTACATTATCCTACTGTTTGATTGAGTACAACAGTGAAGCTGCACTGATTTTCCAAGCGGAATGTCTGATCACATACTGATTTTAATGGAACTGTGTTGTTTTACACCAGTTGGAAAATTTCACAGTAAGACTGGTGAAGACTTAGCCCAAATCTTGTTGGATTTTTTTTCCACATCTTGGATTTACTGCCAAGCTTAATAGACTACGCTAGTTTTAGAGTGGCATTTTCTATCTCTCCTCTAGAAGTATCCACTGACAGAACAAACTATTAATACTAAAGGTAGGATTTCTAAAATGCTTAGCTTTAATACACTGACCTCTTCGAAATCCTATATTGAATTTACATTTTAGGGGCTTGTCACCTTCAATACTTATCTGAATGACTTCCCCTTAAAAGAAGCAAAAGTCTTTGTGGGGACTTACCTGCAGTAAACGTAGTTTTTCTCTTCTGAAGAAAGAATTTTAAATGTTATTTTCTTCCTTCTAGAACAACAAATTGCATCAATAGCTAAAAGACCTACATCTCCTCATCCAATTCAGATAACCAAATTAATCGGATGCACAGAGACAGAAATGGGCATTGTATGTGAAAAACTTTTTGATGGCAAGTAAGTAGAAAATTTGGCACTACACTAAACTGTGGTGCATATGAGCTGTGTGTCTTCATTATAGTGGCTTCATTACAGAAAATTGCAGTTACTATTTGAAGAGATTTTCTGATCCTTCGAAAAGGTACTTAAAAATCTAGTTCTGGCTTAACGACTGTTTTATATTTCCAGTGATAGCGATGAAAAGAAAGAAGCAGAGGAGAAATTGCAGACTGGAAATGACATTCTGCAGCCCTTGACTTGGAATTCTCTACATAAAGAGCGCTGTGTGTCTCTCTCTGTGCCAAAGCATATGCTCCAGAGCATCTTGGACTATAACAGCAGATACCAGCATCACTTGAAGCTTATTTCCCATGAGGCGATAGGCACTTTCAATCCATGGCAGATTGCTGAGAGGTATATGAACTATCTTTGTGTTTTTGAAGCTGATTAACAGTTTTTTTTCTGTCCTTATTCAGGAAAGGAGTGGGGAGGGGACTATTTAAATTCCAAATTGAAAGCCAGAAGCAGTCAGCTGTTCCTCTACTGGGACTTGGTGTTCATGGATTTTTAAGGTGGTTGGATAAAGCAAAACGGTATGGGAGCAGAGTGTCCCAGAAAAGTGATTATTTTTCACATCTTTCTATGGTGTTACCACAAAAACAACTGTGCGAAATACAGGGTAACTTAAATTATTTTCAGAAGACTATCATCAAGAGGTAAATTGAAGGAAAACAAAATTAACTTTTTTGTTTTCTGAGTGAAAATGAAATAAAGCACTGTAAATAACTGTGCAAATTTTAATCTTTGTGGTGAGGGATCATGAAGTTAATGTTTCATAGAACAACAGTAGATATTCTTTAAAAAGAGACCACTGGCCTTAGCGCAGATTTCAGTGCTTCCTCTTCCAGATATCTTCATGCTTCATGGAGTTCACTGTGGAAAGTGTGACATAGGTGGCTTACTATCCCTTAGTACAAATAGGAGAGGTGAAGAAGCACTCAGTAACAGTCTCTCTGCTGTTCACTTCCTGGCAAAGAAAAATTGCCTATCACGCCTAGTGTCTGCTAAGCAAGCAGGGCAGTGTAAGCTGAAATACCCTCCCTTGCACCGAAGCTTCAGTAAGTGTTTTGATTGCTCAGTAACAGCTAAATTATACCACTGGTTATCATTTCCTTGCACTTTTCTTGAGTGATTGCCTACAATTGCCTAGAAATCATTTTCAATATGTGTGTGTACATATATATTTCAGAAATCACCTATTGGTCTTGTAAAGTCCCAGCCCAAAAAAGACATGGAAATACAGGCTGAACTTGAACCTTGCTAGTCTTGTTCTTTCAGAACAAAAGAAATACGGGCACAACATCAGTTGGCGCAGAGGGGATGTTAATTCCCTGCATAGTGGAAATGAGAAGGCTTCTGACTATGGGAGGAGAGAAATGAAAGAAGACAACTCTGTATTATTAAGAAAGAACTACAAAATCTAACTTCAGTGGTTGTAGATGGAATGGTTTGCCATAATTATATTGGCAGACTGGACATCGGGCTTAATTGCCAAGAGTTTTCAAACTTCTGCACACATTTTTAATGTAGCAGCATCGCAATCAGCGACACAGCTCATTTGAGTAACATTTGGTGTCTGCATCAGTGTTTCCAGGAGCAGGTCCTGCAATATTTAACATGATTTGCATGCATGAAGTTACTCATGTGTGTTGATGGTTTGCCCAACTGTGGATAAGTAGGCAAATGTTTCAGTAACTGCGGTTAGACCACTGTATTTGAATCTACTGAACTAAACGACCAAAGTATGCGTTGTCATTCTGCCTTCTGAGCTGTACTCCTTTTTATAATTAGCGTGAGGCCGGATAGTTCAAGGACCAGCACCTTCTTGGGATTGGCAGGTGGATTAAATGGCAGTGAATCTCTCCTGACAGCTGAACTCACTGCTGCCATTTGCCTGATACATGTTGTTACCTGAAATCAAACTACAAATGCAGTCTGATATCCAGCATGCGTCATTGACTTATTCTTACCACCAGAGGGCATTATAAATCTTTTATATAAAACAGTATCACACAATGTTTAAAAGAAACTCTCCCGTTCTATGCTCAAAAAGTCTTAGAAAGACTAATTAGATGAGATGTTTTCAAGAGGCCAGTAAACAATTGTGTTCTTACACTAAAATAGTTTTTCCCTCTGTACCATCTGCAGTGGTTCAGAGATCACTGAAAACTGAAAGTTCTCGTCTCGCTTTTCTTTCAACTATTGCTCTCAGTAAGGCCTGATTCAGTGGCAACTAAAACCATTAAGAACCTTCTCAGTTGCTTCAATGGCCTTTGGATGAGCACCATAGTATGTTAACTCTTATTCCCAAAGCAGGATTTCTATCATCTAAGAGTTTCAAAAAAGGAAGCAACTAAGATCTCTCAACACTTTTAAGCCTCAAGTATGGCCTTTGCTATGAACCAGACTGAGGAAAGAATTTCTGATATCTTATACAACTCACATCAGAACACATACCACATCTTTTCTTGGGCTAAGCAGTAGAAAGAATGAAAAAACACGAGTATTTGCATTTAAAATCAGAGCACTGATATCAATGGAATGAATGACTGGAATTTGAAATCTGACATTCTGAACCTTTTCCTTTTCTTTATTTCCCTCCCTCCCCCTCAGTCTTGCAGAGCAACTAACAGAAGAAGCCCTATGTGATGTGGCAGCAGAGCTGCAGGATGTTTGTGAAGATTATGCAGAAGCTGTATTCACGTCAGAGTTCTTGCAGCCAGCGCAGTAAATGATTTCAAATCTGCCCCATTATCAAATGCAACATCAGCCTCAGTCTAACAGTCTTAACAGATGATCTTATTTTTCATGTGTTTTTGTTAAAGTCTGTGAGATTCTGTTCAGCAAATGAATTAAGTCCCTCAAGGATTCATCTTGGGTTTTTATAAAACCATTATCATGTTTTCCTTTCAGACTTTATTACACTGCATTTATCAGGACTTTTTTTAGCCATTGTTTGAATAGAATGAAGTAAACTGTTGCTGGTAAAGGTTATATAATTTGATAGGAATACCAATCCATTTGTATACCTGTGTTACTTCATGCATTTTTCTGTGTGATCTTACTAGAATAAAATACTGGGAGGAGGACTGGGCTCAAGCAGTAGCACGGACTCAGCTGTACTGTGCCTCAATTTTCTGCTTTAAAATGGAGAGGATCGGACTTACCTCAGGGAAGGGAGCTATGGGCTTTGGTTTATTCTTGTCTGCAAAATGCACTGAACGTATCTGATAGTCGTGTTGGAAGAATGAAGCATTACTTCTATTTCTAAAGCCAAGATGGAACAGTCCAGAGTAAGAGCTGTTTGGTTTGCTGTTCAGGGCTTTCAGTGTCATGTAAGAAAGATGTTGTCTGACCACCATGCTTAGTGAACACACTAGGATTAGTTCTTTTGGGGATGTGGCTACCCAAAGGAAGGATTCTCGTGGCGCAGCATTAACTAGATTTGGATGCAGCATTGGCTGTACTCACAGGCCAACAGCCTGATGGGACTCTTCCAATCCACTTCTAATGGAGTACCTCCTCTGTTGGTTTCTGATTATCGCTAGTACATTATGCACAGACAAATGACACCTTTCAAGAGAAGCATATGATGGAGATTTTCTCCCTTTTTTTCTTAAACTAGTCTAAAATATTATAATTTTATAAGCATTTAGTGATCCAACCCCACATTCTTTACTCTTAAGAATCCCATTGACCTCAAGAACAAGAAAATAAATTAACAACTGGCATTTCCACAATAATAAATTAACTAGTTCATTTCAATTAATCAATGTACTGGTTTGGGTTATGTCTGGAGCAAGCAATGAGTAACAATTATTTATGGTAGTATTCTAGGGAAATGCAAATTTGACCCTTGAGGTAACCCGAAAAACAATATGACAGTCGGTTGCCTTTGACAAATCTCTTTTCTCCAATAGCGTTCATCCCATAACAGAATAATTTTTAACCTTCTGAGATTATTTATATTTCCTTTAATTAGAACACCCATTTTTAAATTAGTTCTGTTTTTATTGAAGCCTGGTTTACTGTTTTGTTTGTCTTGTAATTTACACCAAATGTAAGGATGTAAATGTTACTGCTGATGTATGATTTCTGTAATTTAAAACACTAAACACTTCTATCATTATAGAGATAACCCTGGTTTTAAGTCCAAAAGATTAAAGCCAGAGTGCCTCTATGTACGTGTATATATGCTTGTGAAAGTATTTTCAAGATGTTTTATTTTTTAATAAACAACACTTTTTCTTGGGACTGAACATAGTTTTAATGTAAGAAAAATTCCATCTGAAACCATTTGGAATAGTCAGCACCCGACACGCAGGGGAGTACCCGACAACATTACAAGAGTCAGACTACCATATGCCTTGAAATAACATGGTCATCTGTTGAAGTAAACACACTTAAATCCCATGGTGTTGTGAATTGTGTCCTCTGACTGATGGTGCCAAAGTGAACTTTTATGCTGGATGAGCAATTTGTGTCATTTGGGTGCCTTCTTGGAACAGAAATGTGAGGAGAGTGAAGGCTTTAGGTGGGATCCTTGACTTCACACTCTTCAGTCTTCCGAAGGAACTTATCTGAAGGATTTTGTAATGCATTGTTTACACATGCAAGGTAGACAGTTGTGAAGTTTCTACCCTGAAAAATTTTGTAATTGTAGGGATTAATCTTAAAGTGACTCTGTATGTCATTGTTCCTAAGGGACAAATCAGCATCAAGCTGGATAAATGTTATGCATGTGCGCAACTCTTGTCACAGTGTGTTGATAGAAACTGTGTATGGGGCTGAAAAGTGCAGCCATAATACCACTGCAATTGTTAAACATACATCTAATGAGCCACATTAACTGCCTATGCACTTATTTAAAGCACTGTCATGCATTTGAGTCCCTACTAAATCACAGGGGCGTACCAGAAACAGTTTCATATTTTAATGGTATAGATAGTGAAGAATACATTTTCTTGGAGACTGTGCTGTTTCTCATTGCTGAACGTCTTTAGGAACAGGTTAGATATCCAAAACATACTGTTCTAGCTGGTATTGCAGAGGATCCACTTCCATGGATCTGGACTAGGTTTCATTGCAAGATCTTTGCAGGCCTGTTTTTTTCTTGATTCTTTATGTGCAGGTTTCTTCAATGTCAGAGCTGTGAGAAGGATGAAGCAAAAACAAGATGAAAGAATTCAGTGGTTCTAGAGACATGTGGACAACTCCGACAAATATAAATTGTTTCAGTTATGTATAGCTGAAGTAGAATTAAAGTTTACAGAGGGGTTCGTAGTGATGTAGGTGGTATCTGGTAGAAGTATGTCAGAGCCATTTAGTGTGAGGGCAGTGCCATATGGTGGGTGCACCAAGAGGCACTAATTGCCCTAACTAGCCTGACTGGGACCTCTGCCCGTGGCCACAAGCCTCCCTCGTAGCCAGGCCAGTCCTTGGTCCTTGGCGAAGCTGTGCCACAGGTACACCCATGTCCCCCCGCTCATCCAGACTCACTTGACCATGGCTGCGACTCGTCGCCTTGCGTGGTGATGCCGGGGCTGTCGGTGGGACCTGTGACTGTCACCGTCCTGCCATGCGCAGGTGCTGTGGGTCTGTGTCCTGCTGGTGTGGTCACTTCCCAGCCTGTGCCATCGGTACCTCTGCTCTGGCTTGTCCCCCCTCCTGGGGCAGCCGTGCTCCTCCCGCAGAGGTAACCGGGTGCGGAGGGTGCGATGGCACGGGGAGAGAGGGGTCACTCTGGAAATCCTCCGTGAGGACCCTGAAGACAGAACTGCACATTCGCATTCTCTGAGCACCTCCTGCAAACATCCAATCTACTCTGTAAATATTTAACTGTAGAATTTAAACCGGCGTGCTTCTGGGAGTGAGGTAGTTATGGCAACAGTGTTTGCTCTACCAGTGCTTTGGAGAGCTACTTCTCTCTACTAATGCTGGACCTAATTCAACTTCCATTAATGTCAATGTAAGAGCATAACTGAGCTCCTTTCTTCTCTTTGTCTTGCTTTGTCTCCACGTTACTACTGGAGGCCAACTTTCTGCACATCTTGCTTCTCTATGGACTACTTTCTTCCACTAGGAAAAAGAGGTGGGTTTTTGGTTTGGGTTTTTTTGAGAACTGATCCACCAGCAATAGGAAAAGGGATTCTGTTCATGATGTACATCAGTCAATTATCAGCCAAATAGAAGATCTGCTTCAGCGTATCTGCTCATGGTATGTCCTGGAAGAACATAATAGTTTTTAAGTACATTTTTCCTCAGAAGACCCCACATTCGCTCTTGCAGCATCCTGGAAGCACTAGCTTGCACTGACGTTTCAGGACGGCAGTCTGGTCTGAGTGAAAAGCAGCAGGCTGGAGGACAGTGGTCTCAACTGGTCATTTATCACCTGTTTCCTTGTGCTTCACCTGTGTGTTGTGCCTGCTTGTAGTCTCTTGCACAGCAGAGGCCGCGATGCACAGCTCCTGGCGCAGCGAGGGACATGCCTGGCTGCTGCCACGGTACTGATGTGGCACAGAGCCCCATCTGGCAGAGTCAGCCTGCTGACATACCTCACTGAGAATGGCTGGAAGGAATGCCAAACAATTTCATTGTAAATTGCAGGCATTATCCTGCACAGAAGGAAACGTAACCCAGTGTTCAAAGTTCAATCCTTGCTTCCACTCATTTTGTGGAAACAAGGTCTTTCTTTGCTGGTTGTTTTCTTTATTCTTTTTGCTGTAGGAAGATGTCTCTTTTCACGGAATAAACTCAGTCACTGCTGCTGAGCAGTGTTTTCCAAGGATTGATTTTTAATATATTTACTTTTTGGTTTTAAATGTTCTTTTAAGCAGCCCCCTCATTTGCTGGGATGTTTTTGGACATGCATAACTTTTAAAGTAATTATGTAGGCATGGGTGTAAAAATTGCTGAATTCAGAGCTAATTCATGAGCTACATGAGTTTTCCTTCAGTCAAATTCCTACTGTACCACATATATACGTGTAAATCTAGCTATAGATCCCAGCTTTAAAAAAGAGACTATGGTCCCACAGCATCCAGGTTGTAGTCAGTGCTTTCCTTTTGCCCCATGTTCCCTCAGAGGGGATTTGCATGTTCAGTCTAGCTGTGCCAGAGGCAGGCACACGAGATGGGGTCACCCTGACAAACTGGGGTACATGCTGCGAGCGATGCCCGAGAGCTGGTGCGGTGGGTGGTGGCTCACAGGGCCAGGAGGAAGCAATCTCGGGGCTGTGGGAGGCAAGAGCCCCTGGTCCTGTGCGGGAGCAAAGGAGCCGGCTGGGTTGGACTGGCCACGGCTGCAGTGGCTCTGGTGTTACCAGTCTGAGCCCACATGAGAAGGTAACCCGCGTGGGAAAGCCACAGCCCGGGGCTGTGCGGGGCCGTGCGGAGCCGCACTCACTGCTTCCGCCCCGCTTTGCAGAAGGTGTTGCAGGAATACTCTGCGGCTCTGTCTGGGGCCGGGAAAGCTGCCGAGCACCCGCTGGAGGAGTGCAACTGGGCCCCGTTCCGAGCTCGTTTCTGGAGCAGGACAGGTCTCTGGAGGTCGGTGCGGGCAGACTGCCCACGGGGAACACGCGGCGCACCAGACCGTTGGATTAGTGCGAGAGATGGGGGAAGAGGGCACGGGAGTAATGAGGGAGAATGAGTTATGTCTCAGTAGCTCTCAGTCATGATCTGTTTAATACAGGGAGGAACGTTTTCTCAAGACTTAGATATACAGATATTT